GCTGACATTTTAGTATAATGAACATATTATATTTTTAAAATTGTATTTTCAAAACATGAGAAATTTAGTGAGAAGAGTGGCAGTGTTTCCCATTTTTGCAAATCTCTATAATCTCTCATGTAGCATAATACAAGACAGCTGAAGCTCACATTTGCTTCTCCACTGACTCTATTGGATATCACATAGCCTCCAGAAACTCCATTATTCACTTTTGAGACAATAAGAATGAAAAAGGCAACATCTTAGTATTATTATGAAAATAGTTTTGATCTCATGAATCCCCTAAAACAATTGTGGGAAGTCTCCAAAACACATTTTAAGAACAACAGATCTAAATGAATAAATCTAATTTCTTTAATATTTTACCATACATGTTCTTTTTATAAGATTTCAATAGTGTTTTGATTTTCCTTTGAATCCACTTTATGTTGCTCATTTCTAAAAATAAAAGATCTAAAATTTCAGAGAGCATTTGTGCTTATGGAATTCCTTTTCTCTGATGGTCTGACTGGAATACAGTTTGTTCATTTTTTTCTTTCAAACACATACTTTATTCAATCAGAATCACCTCAAGGAAGGTATGAGGAAAAACAGATTCTTATGGTGAAGGCAGGAACTCTTCCTCCTCACCCCTATGGTTTCCATAAGGTAGCATTTTCCCAACCTTCCTGGTGTCTTGTTCTCAGCAGAGATGGGACTGGAAAGCCCACCTGCTCCTAACCCCCTCCATTTTGAGGCCAGTTTGCATTCACAGGAGTTTGTCCCCTAGATTTGTTCTTGGTCTTCCTAACTCTGCTCTGTTTATGCATAAATTGTCTGCCTGTGACTTGGGAGGGTATGTTAGTTGACCTGATCCTGGAGGTCAGGGCAGCTCTGCCTATTATTGATAAACCCAGGGAACACGTCTTACAATGTATCAAATGCCCATATTCTATCTCTGTTGGTTCATAACTTGGACAGCAAAATGATATGTTATTGAACTCACTGAGTGGTAATATCTATAGTTGACAGAAGGAACACAGAGTAAATTCTAGAATCTCTCATGTGGTGGGTACATAGTTCTCTATCTCCTCTTTAGTTTCCAAGCTATTTGTGGGTTTAAGACAGGCATGAAGACTAATTGATTCAGGAGCACAGTCCCAGTTTGGGAGAATAAAAGACTTTTTGTGAGATTCTGCTATATACACGTATATAGAAGTTGGCATTTCCATTACTTTTTTGAATTTTTATTTTCATGATAAACTATTGAATGACATTTAAAATAAAGAAATACTATCTCTATAACATATTTTCCTGATATATTTAATTATAATGTAAATTTGAAATCGGTACTTATTTCTTTGGCAATTCAAAAATTTAAGTATTTTAAGAAAGTAAAATTAGTTTATGTTAACCAACATAAACCTGATTAAGGAGCAATTCAGAAATGCCTTCTTATCAGAGAAAACATGAAAACTACAAATCCTTTCAGTATGGACAACCAGGAAAATGGCATTACTTCCTAGCTTCCACCTTGCTTTTGATTTATATTATTTAAAACTATTTATTTTCTACATAAAGCCTTTCTTTTTCACCTCATGTTCCCTAAGAGTTTGAACTTGAGGTGAATTCCTAATTTTGTGATTATGACATCAACCTGTTGCTATGGAAATGTTTGTGATTTAACAAACAGAATCATAACAATAGTGCTTTGTACTATTTAACACTTTTCATCTGAAGATTAAAAAGTATTTTGCAAACAGTATCTCAATAATCCTAGCAACCTCCCTGTTAGGGTGTTTGCAGGATTTTTTTCCTTTTTCCCGTAATTGGAAGAACTGAAACAGAAGCAGAAGCAGGGCTTTTTACACAGATATTTGCTGTCAGCATCTGAGCCTGAACCAGGATCCAAGTGTATTCTCATCAAGGTCAAGTGGCATATAACTATTATTTTATTATGGAATCACAGAGGTGCAATCTTTATGATACAACTATAGAAAGATAATTTCTATAATTGAGACAAGCATTTACCATGTATGATGTAGCTGACCTATCAATAAATACATTTGTCTTTCAACTATCTGTGAGCTTCAATGTGTATCTTTATTTGAATACTTTATAGAAAGTGTCCTTGTGAATCTAGAAAACTTTTTAATAGTGAGAGCCATCATCTCTAAGAAAAGTGAACTAAAATCAGTGGAGTTATTTTAAATGTGAACTGAGTATTCTTGGATAATTTTCTTCAGGAAACAATCCTAAACTAATAAAGAGAATGTTCAGCTGGATTAGCAAAGGCGAACTTTTCCTGCTTTGATTTTCACAGTCCTGTAATCCATACCAGATGTCAAATCCTGAAATTCAGAGTTGAGCATTTTGAACTATTGTCTCCAGTGAGATCATAAACACATTTTATGGGGCTGCTAAGTCACACACCAACACAAAGTTTTAACAAATCATTTTTTAAAAAAGAAAACAAAACTAAGTGAACCAGACACAAACATACTGAAGAAATGTACCTTTGAACCATTTAACTTGAGGTGGAGGAATACCAGAGGTTTTGCATTCCATAACAGTTATATCCCCAAGGGCAACCAGGAGCTCGCTCTGAACTACTATCAACTTAGGGGCTTCTGAAAAAAACAAACACGTAAATAGTCAACATTTAGCACAAGACCAGATGGGTTTTGTTTATGTTTACTAAATGAACCAATTTAAAAATCTATCAGAATTTATGTGCTTGTGGCTATTTCAATATTTATAAATCAAAAGAAACTCTTGTAATGCACATGCACATATGTATATGTGATAAAAAGATCACTTATCAAGGTCACAGAAATTATATCAGGAAAAAAATAATGACTAAAACAAAAAATAATTATGATAAAACAAACTCTAAAAAAATTACAAAACTAATTGAAAGTTCTTTAAGAAAAAGAGTTATTTAAGGAAAGAAACATCTTAGAAATCAGAATACATCTTAGAGAAACAATACTGCAAGAACAGAGAGAGGAATAATTCTAAGAAAAATATAGTCAAAAGAGGGATAATGGTAAGACCGACAGCTAAATTAAGACTTGAGGATGATATAACTGTAGATGAATTTGTTAACATTTTCTGCATCATTTTAAGGATATTCATGTCTAACTACAGGAAGATATTTGCAGTCCAAGCCTAAAATTTGCATTTACAAAAAAGAGTCTCCTGGTTTTGACCCTTCTTTTTCCTGTGATGCTAAATACAGACATTCTCTAAATTTCTGTTCTTCACTGTTTGCTTCACTTGCTTGCCTAATGGTTCAGTTTACTCACACATTTTGTCTTAACGAGATATTTTAGGACTTCCTAGCTTCAGCTGAGGTATTTTTAAACAAAGCTAAGTTAACTTCTCACAGATCATGTAATTTTTCTGCTAGAATACCTTCAGTGACGCCCACTGCTTTCAAAATTCCATAGAATCTCTTTCAAAAATCATAAATGGGTGCATAGCTTTTTTTTTTAACCTTACCCTCTGTTACACTTCCTCACTTATCACAAGGTACAGAGCTTCACTGGTAGTCCAAAACACAACAGAATTTTACTTTTCTATCTTCTTTGCCTTTCCCAAAGCTATTTCCTCTTTGTAAAATGCCCTTTGCCACAATCCTTCAAATCCCACTCATTCCTCCAGACTGAGCCTAAATCCTGTCTCCTTTGAGAAATCTTTGCTAATTCCTCAGTCTGAATTAATCTTCCCCTCTGCCAACCTCCCACTGTAGTATTTGTCTGTCTGCCTTGTTATATTCATGTATATATCCACCCCCATTGTGTAAATTCTTGAAAAGTAAAGGCTACATGACATACATTTTTAAAATTTTACACTCCACAGTCTCCAGCACAGCAGTTTGCATGCTGCATCTCTAGAGGTGCTTAATAAGTTAAAATAAATGTTTAACATTAAGGCTTCTATGCGAATGAACCAAAATTTGTTTTCACAATGGAAGTAGAATTCGGTTTCAGTCACTTGTTCCACATTCCCAACTGTATTTCCCTCTACACTGGGGTATTCTGTGAACATTTTTAATTCACTTATCTCCAAATCTGAGCTCACTTTCCATCTAAACGTATTCACCATGTGCCTTATTTCTATAAATGGGACCACTTCTTTCCAGACTCTCAATTCTATACTTGTGACATTTTTGTTCTCTCCCTCACCTATACCTTCAAGTACAATTCTCTATTTTTATTATCTCTTTTGAATCCTTTCTTCTCTACTGACAGTTTCATTATCTTACTATGAATGAGACTGAATAAGAATGAATGAAAGGGTGGATTGCTAGCAATTGATTATTCACAATTTATAACCTGGATCTGAGTATATGACACCTTTATCCTTTATTTGACTAAGAAAGACAAAATTAAATAGAAATATTCTATAGGATAATTTTCATAGAGTACGCTTCCAATAAATGTTTAAGTTTGGAGGGGGAAATTGAAGATAAAAAGTAAAAATTATATTATATACAGTTTTGAATATAAGTAGAAATTATAAAATGGAAGTTAAGCTAGAAAGGATATAGAATTTATTAATTTAAAAGTAAAATATTGCAGAGAACAGATGAACAGTGGAAAGACAGAACTTTGTGGACAATATGAAATTATTCCATTAACCTGGAAGCTTCCTTGATTTCTGTTGACTAATGAAGCTTTTCACTCTATGAAATTTTAACTTAAATTATTTACAATGTTTGCTCCAATCAGTGTGTGAAATGAATAAAGTATAATACTATGTATACAATACTAATATTAATTTTTCAAAACAGTACTTTTGCATTGCTTGATGTGATATTCATCCTATTTTAATTGCCTTTTAAAGTGATTATACTTGCCAATGTATCTGAG